CAGTCATAGTCGGGTTCCAGGTCTGGGCTTGAATCACATTTACAAGGTGCTCTCTTCATCTTGTTAAGCATCATCATGATACTTGTGATGTGCTACAGTAATCACCGGTGTTCTGGATATTAATGAAGCATGCTACAGTATTCCTTTGATACGAACATTGAATTGGTCTAGTATTTAAATTCCCTTTAGAAGTTGTAGAAAATCGATGATTGGTCAACAACGGAATAAAAAGAAGGAAAGAATTGACACACATGAAATTTCACAACTTCGAATCCCATACGTAACTTTGACACATTTCCATGTTTTAAGTAAGTTAATGAAATAAATTATCTTAAAGAATAGAATGTAAGCTTGTACCTGAACTTATATTTCTTTCTGAACTTTTTCCTGTGACAGATTTGCTTATGATTAAACTAATAAGCTTTTTCTGTCTCAATTAAGTTGGAAAACTAGATTTTTCTAATAAGAATAATAGTAGACAAGGTGTATTCTGTCATGTAATGAAACAAAATAATAGGATGCTAACAAATAAATATGAAAGAGAAAGTGTGATAACAAACATGACAAATGAAAGGAGTTTATTAGGTTATATGTGTGTTCCTTTATGTGCTGCTGCATGTAATTTCATATTTATAATCCTGACCAGTACTGTAAAATTAAAAAAATGTATCCATGCAAGGAGGAAGGCCATAATCGGCTCAGCTCTCTGTATAGCACAAAAAAGCTTTATACATCTCATGGACTTTGGTGTTTTCCCATCTGCATGGATGGTTTAACCATTGTTATAAATAGCGGTAAATAGCCCCGCAATAGCGGCGCTAATAGCGTTAGCGGTCCCTTCCCACAACGCTATCGCCCGCTACGTTATCGCGTAATACCGGTGATATATTACAGAATATGTTTGTTCGCAAAAGCGGTCAATAGTGTGTCATAACGGTAAATAGTGAGCGATTGCATTTAAAATTTGCTTTTTGACTGCTATTTAAAAGCGGTTTGAGGCTTATTTTTTTTAAATTAAACTCAACCCTTAACCATTGCATTCCACTGTCTCATGTGATTTTCAGCATACTCCCGTCACCTCTCTTAGCCTCTGGCACCTACCTTGATACTTCATCTCACCTCCTTTACCGTGAGCTCCTCTTAGGGCAGTCCTGTCACCGCTAAGCTCTTCTTCTCGAAGACGACTTTTTGATTCCTTCAGTCATCTTCGGTATTACGTGATGGTTACATGTCTATTTCATGTTTAGGATCTCTTTAAATCATCCAATATGTACTTTTAGATTTCTTAGATGTTTCTTTAATTTTTTAGTATTTATACATATCTGAATTAGACCGCTATTTGATTTTGTGCTTTTTACCGCTATTTTGCCGCAATACACCGTGAGCTCCTCTTAGGGCAGTCCTGTCACCGCTAAGCTCTTCTTCTCGAAGACGACTTTTTGATTCCTTCAGTCATCTTCGGTATTACGTGATGGTTACATGTCTATTTCATGTTTAGGATCTCTTTAAATCATCCAATATGTACTTTTAGATTTCTTAGATGTTTCTTTAATTTTTTAGTATTTATACATATCTGAATTAGACCGCTATTTGATTTTGTGCTTTTTACCGCTATTTTGCCGCAATAGCCCGAAATAGCCTTAACGATGCTTCATCGCTACGCGACGCTATCCGCTATCGATAACCTTGGATTTAACAAGTGCATGGAATATATGTCATGCTCGGGTTAAATCACTTGTGGCATGGGCGGAGCCAGTAAGGGTCCTAGGCCTCCCTTTACCCCAGTTAATAATACACATATTGGTCCCTTAAATCTTTCATATTTTGAAATGGGCCCCTCAAATCTTGGAAATTGCTATTAGGTGCCTCAATTCTAAGGTTATTTTGAAATTAACCCCTCAAATGTTCCTATTAGATTCCTCGATTCTTAACTTATTTTGAAATCAATCACTCCAATCATGAGTAGCAGTAGCAATTGAAGGGATTACAAACAGGGGATTACAAACAGAATCTATGTTGTGGACTATTAGCTCTTCCAATTCTCATAATTTTTTTCTTCCAAATTTAATCTCTCCAATCGCTTTTTGTACTCTCAAGTAGAGGGACTAATCTAAAAATAAGTCGAAAATCGAGGGACCTAATAGCAATTTCCAAGATTTGAGAGACTAATTTCAAAATATAAAAGATTTAAGGCCTAAAATAGTGAATCAATTATGAAGCAATTTCTTAAAAGAGGTCAAATATCTTCTTTTTTTAGAGGTGAGGGTTTAATCTTTTTTTGGACTCCCCTTACTGAAATTCCTAGCTCTGGCACTGACCTGTGGGGTTTTCTGGGTATACTTGTAAGAAGTTTTAACATTTCACCATATGATGTTATCTATTGTTACTGCATTTAACTTTATCTTATTGTTTTTATAATATGAGAATTTGTCTGTCTAATCTGTAGTTTCAGATTGCCATGCAAATCAGGAGTTAAATTCCAATGAATTTGATGTGGTTTGTCTTTTTAATGAGCTCAAAATCAGATAGCCTCTCTTTGCTTGTGTCCTACTAATATCTGGCTCATAAACCTAAGTAAAGAGCCTTGATCACATAAGAAAACTTCATAGGTTGAACTTGGTTCATTATTTTAAAATTAAAAATTAATCATGGTGGCTGCCATAATGTGATGATATTTTGACTCAAAATATGATAAAGTTGTCGAATCATGGTATTTATAGATAGAACAATAGACATTGACATTTTAAAGATATAAAACTTAGCTTAGTCTAACTTGATATTATTATAGCATAGGTTGAACTTGGTTTATTTAAATGTGTTAAGACAATCTTAGTCTAACTTGATATAATTATAGCATAGAAGTCGGGAACATCGGACGCTATAGCGAACGACGACCTGGGTTCAATCTTCCCAAATGCTTGATGGAGCACAATCTGATTCACCAACTCAGGCGACCCGATTTAGAATTCAAATTAGTTAATTTTTTTAAAAAAGTCTTTTTTCAAAAGAATTAAAAACAAGAAAGTGAGAAAGTGAGTATGCATACCTTGATTGCAGCATTGTTCAGTGTTTTCAAACGCGCGCGCCTCATGCGGCATACGATGTGGGGCGGTGGCAAAGCGGTCCGCATCTGATGCAACAGTGCCTTTTGCGTCTCACATACATCTTAACTTTATGCAAGATGCATGTAGTGCATACCCTCATCCGTCTCGCATCTGATGCAGCAGCACCTTTTGTGCCTCGCATACGTCCTGACTTTACGCATGGTGCATGCAGTACATACCGTAGCATATCTCATATATTTTTGGTCTATGTATTCGATAATCCATATCCCAAAAAGCAAAATAAATCCATTAGGTTTTTTTAGTAACCTTCAATTGAGGACCATAACTAATTCCTTTGCTTGGATATTAGTCTTGATTTGATATTTGATTTGAAAAATTATGAACTTTCCTACTATGTTGAGTGGTAGCATTAGAAATTTAGACCTTATATTGTGATTTTAGTAAGATATTATTTATCTTGATATATTTTTTATGTGAATTCTTAAACATGTTCTTTTGTACTTGATTATCTATCTAGAAAAATTATGTGTGTCGTGTGCACTCGCATCACTTAGGTACGCGCACCTCATTTGGCCTTGCGCATGTGCGCACAAAGATACTTTGCACCCCACATTGCGCCTCGTGCATTGACAACACTGGTATGATTCTGAAGGTTCTTTACTGTTGTCAACTAGCATATATTTCTTAAATTTGACTCTTGCAAACCTCTGATTCCTACATTTAAGAGTCGAACTTGAAACGTACCACGTTCCTTGGCGTATCATATAAGCCTATCCCCTCATACCCGGTTTCTGGTGAGTGGCGTACTACGCTCCGGTACCTGTCTCGTGAGCCGGAACAAACCAGGTTCCATGCAACTATGAATTATAGACATTGATGTTTTAATTAATCTTAGTGGGACAAATAGTATGTTATGGTCATTATATTTAGTGGAAGGAACTACTTATGATAATGTTCAGCAAAGTAATAGAGTTATTCAGGGATAATGTTATTTATTAATTTGTAAAGCTTCCATGGATAACGTTATTCTACCTTTTTGGAAAATGTTACTCAAGAATGAAAACAAAATAAGGTGCATTTTATTGCAATAGAAGTCAGTTATTACTTTTTACATGAACCTTGTGTTTGGTAAAACTATGGTTGCTTTATTTGACAAGAATGTAACTACTACAGTTATTTTTTAACTCATCCCCATTTTCCAGTCAATATGCAATATCCTGCATCTATCATTAGGTGTGAGTTATGAAATTATCCAATTTTGTGCTTTTTTAGTCTACTGCTTCGTTTAAGCCAGTATCTGAACAGTTCACCTAATGGTTTTGTGGGTTTGACGGTCCCCTGAAACTATTTTTTGAGACTTGCTTATTCTAGCTAGTAGCTATTCAAGGGCCAGTGTAAGTTTTTCTCTGTAAAAAGTAGTATATTTATTTTTGGTATAATCTGGTGATTATTGTTAGTGTTATTTTTGGTTCTATGCATTTTGTATATCATTTTTTCGTCGTTTTCCCAATGTTCTAATCTGCGGTTGTTATGCACAATGTTGTCTCATCCTTGCATTGCTTCAGCTGAAACTACCAAGAATTGTTTGTAGCTAACTCATTAACAGATCATTAATGAATATTTCATCTGCAAACTGTTCTTGCAGGGAGCCTCGAGGCTTTGGATTTGTGAAGTTCCGTTATCCTGATGATGCAGCAGAAGCCAAAGAGCACATGAACCATCAAGTTATAGGCGGACGTGAAATTTCAATAGTATTTGCTGAAGAAAATAGGAAAACACCACAAGAAATGCGCACGACTGCTAGGGTTAGGTATATTCCTTTTTGATTATTGTCATTTCATCTTTTAGGCGGACATGTATGTGGCAAATTTTTACTGTAACTGATGACATGTATCAGCATTCACTATATTTCTTCTTATTATCAATTTGCAGTGATAGATACATGGGAGGAAGTTCTAGGAGGAGATCTCCAAGGCGCCAATATCATTGTCAGTCCTCTTAGTATCTTTTTGGCATTGACATCATTTTTTTATGTTCTTATTTGAGGAAAAAGTTTGATTGTCCTGATGAACTGTTTGAATTATATGTTTCTTGAATAATTGTTTTCTTCTTTGGTGTTTCGTCTTGACAGCTTATTCACGTTCTCCTTCTCCACCGCCAAGGCGTGACTTAAGGTCTGATGTTTTCCCTTTGTTTTCTTTGTTTCTTTCCAACTATTGGCCTTCAGCTACATATCTTATGGTCGATATGCTTTTGGTGTGTCTAAATTCTGTTTCTAGTATATTCGTATCATCTTTGGCTACTTTATTGCAACTGCTTGGTCAAAGCTCTAGCTTGCAGCATATATCTGGAGCTTATAGTGCAAGAGATTCTTTGCAATACCCCACATGTAATATTCTTATATGTTGTGTGCATTCTTCTCTGGACGTTCTTTTTTACAGTATCTCAGTATTAGTCATCTGCCAAGAAGGTTCATTATTATTTAATAGAATTTGTGCTGGCGCTGGTCGGTAGCTTATCTTATGTTTGTGTTTCTCTTGCATCATTATGTTTACATTTTACATCCTAGCAATCTAATTGTTCCAAAGCTTATGATATTATCAAGCTATTATGTTGAGTTTTGCCATGTGATTCTTATTTTGTATCAACTTTCTGGACTTAATGATACATTGCTAACATGAGCATCCATTATTTCTAAAATTTGATGGATGTGTGCTTTCAATCTTTATTTTTGCTTTATGCATTTGTTTAGTATCCTTAAATTGGCTGGTCTTACTGCTGCCTATTTGCATTGTATGGGAGTGCGCATGTGCACATATATATGGGGATGGAAGCTCATTTTGCCATGAGCTACCAAGAGGCAGACATATGTTAACCCACCTTAGTAGTCACATCTGATGGGTGGGTCTCACCACCTCTATCTCTTGGTAGCTCGTTTACCAAAATGAGCTGCCACCTCACTATCATTAAACCCCATCTATATATATACTTACATGCAAACACACACATGAAATAAACAGAGGCTGGTGTTTGCCTGCATACTCTTTGGCTGGTGTGTCATTGATCTAACATAATCTTGTTCATTAGTTATGATTTAGATATGTTAAGCATTAAGATTCTAGTAGGTTGGATGTATGCCACGTGAACATGTGCAAACCAGGGGCATGGAGGGACACACCAGCCCTCATTTAATTTGTGCGTACAAAGAAGATAGAGAGCGAAGAAAAGGGAGAGACTTTGACATGTTATATAATAATTATACAACACTAAACATTAAACATGATCTATATCATTTAGAATACATAGGGAAAAATAACATATTTTAAGGATTTTTAACCTGTGGATTATTACCTTAAAAAATGAATGACTTAAAATAGTAGATTAAGATAGTGTGGAGCTTTTAAATGAGCAGTCCAACTTATTAATGTTGGTCTAACTAACCTTAACTGGACACCCTATACACAATAGTATAGTGTTCTATATCTCTGTATACCATAGATATACATCTTCTTTAAATCCATCTATTTTAATTACATTCAATGCACAAGTAAGAAAACTGTAAAGATGTATGGGTATTTGTTTTAAGATATGTTAAATGTCTAGATCATGTTAAACTGCACGGATTTTCCATTCAAGTTGCATATTATATAGTTGCCAACAGTTGTGTTGTGACCTATTTACAATTGTGTGAATAATATTACCATTATACATTTATAATACATAGAAATGATTTATAATACATAGAAATGATGTTTACCATCACTAACTAGCATAGAATAATGAATTCCATTATTCTTTATTTAGTAGTTTATCATAAAATGCCCATCATTGTAGATCTCGAATTTTTTCTTGTTTAGTCTATTTGTTCTATGTCGATATTATTACATTTGAAAAAGCTGCCTATATGGTATTTTGTTTGTATATCTGTCCTTATTTTTCCTTTTTCACTGCGGTATCATATGAATCTATAGCTTTAGATCTTTTTTTAATGGTGTTATTCCTGTATTTATGCATTCAAAGGCTTCAACTTATATGTGGGATATGGTAATTGTCTGATATTCCGCACATCTTCTCCGTGGTCTGTGACCTAATGCTTCAGGAATGTGAATGACATGGTGATGGTGTTGCTTGTGCAGATAGTTAAAGTGAAAAGAGTTCCTAAAGAATTCATCGATTGTTAAAGACCTAAAGAGGAAAAACGCCACAAAAGTTCCTACTAGTTGCTTACCACCTTACAAAGCTATTCAAGAAGTTAGCTTTAAATGTTCATCTCCGTCAACATTATCACCAGGATACACGGTTTGTTAGATAAATCGCAATCTAGAATAACTTTATGTTTCTTTTACATTCTAAAAGATTGATGTGGTTTTTTACACTGTCCAGTTAACAAAGAATCTAGAGCTTATAATTTTGCCAAAAGAGAGAATCTATGACCTCAGAGAATGGGAGTCCTCAAAAGCTCACTGCTAAAAGATTGATGATATTCGGGAAGGGGTTCATACTTTTATCCCAGAGTGTTCAAAAATGTTGGTCTAAGAAAGATGAAGACAAAGAGCTGTAATGTCAGCAGTTGCTGTTCAACCAGCTACAAATTTAGAGCATAGTTCAAACAACCAAAGTTTCTTAATTTTGTTCAAGTATCTTTGAAAATGTGCAGGTAAAAGTCGTATTTCTAAGTAGGTGCAGTTATCTGAGAAAAGTTAATATATGTTTATTAAATTGCATGTGGGCACAGCTTTAGAACTATAATCCTGCTCCAACCATAGGCATTGACATGTCAAGATGACATTATTGTTACTAGCAGGTTTTGAAACAAGATTTGTCTCACGGTAGCATGTTTTTCAGTGATTTGTTTCCAATCTTAAATTTGTTCATCCCTCAGCCTTCTCTTGCAGAAAAAATCTTTAAACTCCCTTGTCTTTGGATAGTGATTATTTATATTTCCAGCTTCGTTTTAGACCATAAAGTTGACTCTTTCTCCATTAATATGAAAGCAGGGATCGGTATGGGAGCAGATATGATGATGATTATTATTCTCCTAGGAGGTCTATCTCCCCATCTCCTCGAGATAGGAACTACAGGTCATATAGCCGATCTCCAAGTCCTGAGAGGACAGGTCGAAGCCCATCCAGGTCTCATTCGTACAGATCAAATCGACGTTCTCCAAGTCCTGAGGGAAATGGCTGAGGCCTCTCAAGGTCTCGTTCTTGCAGGTAATTATGCTAGAAACATTTTATTGTTAAAATGGTTATTTGCACTTAAATACCCCAAATCTTATACCATTTTTAATTTTGCGACTCCAAAACTTTTTCCCTTAGAAAATACCAAAAAAAAAAAAAAAAAAACTTTGGTACTCTAAAATGACTTAATTGGGAAAAAAAGAACTTCAGGGCCACAAAGCTAAAAATCTATGTTGGTATGTAAGTGCAAAAAATTCTTGTTGAAACTGATTTATATCGGCGACCCTCATTCTTGTCTCACTGCTTTGTGCAGTCACTGATGCCTTGGTTTTGTGCTGGAAGCTGTCTGCATCAGTCGGGAAAATCTATATGGTTATTTGGTTGGGTTCTAACATCTTGTATTGTGTCTGGATGGATTCTGAAATGCCTAGTTCTGAACTTCTTTAGGGAAGCTTATGATCGTCTTTGTTCGAATTTTATCTCCTTCTGTTTGTGCCTGGCAATGCCCGATGGTTGGGCCTTATGGGTAAGGGCTAAGAGATTCTGCGTCGCGTGTGAACTAGTTGGAATCCTCAAGAATACTGTATCAGCATTTCTTTACCTTTTGTGTATACGCCTAGCCAATTGCTTGCTATATCTTAAATGCTACGTGATTGTAGGCTATTACTTATCCTAGGTATTTGCTGATTGAAGTTAACTCGTTGGCTTTATTGTTCTTGTTGCTGAATCATGCTTCATCCTAGGGACAGTTGCAGGGACAGTTGCTGGTTCTATGGTTACGAGTTTTGTTTCTCAGTGCAGTAACGCATTTTTTCTAGGCTTTGATAGTGTTGATATTGTGGCCTCTATTTTGTTCTTCCAAAATTGATAGTCTTGGTATTGTGGTCCGTATTTTGTGCTTCAAAACTGGAAGATAGATGCCTCAGGAGATGGGGGCCTAAGCATGTCAAATTTGTTGACGAGTGACCAGTTTTCTTGTTCTGAATAGGGGTTGAAATTTGAGTCATATTCCTTCTGTTAGATCTATAATATCGTGCATGAAATTTACTCGTTTTTGTTTAAAAGATGCGACATGCAGATATCAGTTTCTTGTAGCTTTTGTATAGAAGTTTAAGAGGCAGTACAGTGGGTAACTTGTGAAGGCAACAGAACTAAGTTTATGTTCTAATACTCCTCTCAGTGATACAAGGTACAAATTACATAATGAGTCTTACTCTTTTGATGTCGATCTGTAGGAAGTTAAACGGGATGTTAGTTTAGGCCTCAAGGTTTGGGACGTAGCGACTTGTTCGTAGTAATGGAATAAGAAGTTTAAGCATTTTGATGTCGATCTGTAGGAAGTTTAAGCGTTTTTATTTTTCTCATTTGCTAGAAACAAGAACTCTCCCACGCAAGTAATGGAATAAGAAGTCTTAATGAAGAGGCAAAAAAGCATCACGGCTCTCACGAGCATGATTTATTTGTTTTTTTTTCCCCTTGCATAATAGTGTCATGATCGCATATGTGTTACCTTTCTTTACAGAATCAAGTAGGATGCTAAGTTGCTCACATTTTTATTTCTGTAAAATATCTGAATCGCAGTTTAAATTTTTTGAAAATTTTTCCAAATTTAAACATGAATGTTCTAATATAATGAACTTTATCGAGTACTAAAATATATATATATATATATTTGTAATAATTTATAGTTTATGAATATTAATCAATAATTAAGAAGATACTTTGTAGTTACTTTCGTTTTTTAAACAATTTGATTTCTTAAAAAGTGTTTAAATACATAATTGATTTTTTTTTTTGTAATTACGACATATAAATCTATAATTTGGATAGTTGGTTAACTAATTGATTTGGAACTTTTTAAGTTTCTCAGAAATTAGTATGGAGCTTAAAGTTAAAACGTAGTCAGTGAAATATAATAGCATAATGTGGGCAGTAATGTAAGTTACGAGTGATTGAAATTTAAATGAATAATTTAATAAGTAAAAGAATTGAATAGATATCTATTGTTTATTTATGGACTTATAATAAAAATTATTTGTTAATATTAAATGAATCTGAATCGAGTACAGTCGGAATCAACAAATTATATGCTCATTATTTTGGTTCATTCCTTCCCTAAGTATTTTGGTTAATTTACTTATTTTTCTCACTTTCTTCGCACTTCTATAACCTCAATTGTTCTCTGCAACATTTATATATTCCAAGTTTTTTAAAATTGTTGCGTTAATATTTTTCATTAAGCAAACATGAAAGCTTTCACTCCCAATATTCCCGAACATACCGTTTATAATATTTTTCTAACTTTTCATATTTGTTGAATAGTTTTTTCCTAGATACCATCTTTAAAATATGGTGACTATACAAAAACCACCTTCAAAGTTTAATCTATATAGAAACCATCTTTAAAAGGGGTTTTGCTTGCTATCAACCGCCTCAGTCTATTTCCTAATGAAATAATAGCTAAAATTCTCAAAAACCTTTTAAAAACACCCGTCAAACACTAGGTTTGGTTAAGAAGCCATGTCACATGCTTGACACGTGTGTTGCACATGTTGAATATTTTGATCATTTTTTTACTTATGTCTTCACTATAAGACATTAGTAAAAATGTTTATGATTAACATATGATATATTGCACTAAATAAGATTAATTTTTTTAAATCTCTACTTGATGATGATAACAAAAAAAAAATTTCTTGCCATACCCATAGATTTAACAAGATGATATAATTACAACGCCAAAATTTACGAACATAAATATTCTATAAAAAAGATTATAGACATAAGTGAGCGTAAACTAAAAAAATGGAACTAAATAGTGTAATTTAAAAGGGGAAAAAGAGAATCTAAGAGAAAGAGTTGACCAACAATCGTTAAAATGGTTCACTCCCAGTGCAAAAGCATATTATTTACATAAGAGGAGTATATGTCGGAGAAAGGCATGCCTGCATAAAGCAAATTAATTATATAAGAACTCTAGAACGACTCTAACTTCTAAAGATAAAGTAATCAGTATTCTATAAATAACTCCTACTCTCAGAGAGAGAGAGAGAGAGAGAGGGATCATGAACTTTTGAGAAGTTGGGTTGAGGTCTGGATTTGCTTTGTTACAATTTGCTCCTGGGCCAACTAATTTATAAGTAAAATCGTACAATATAATTAGTATCAATCTTTAAAGTTTAGAAAAAAATATATATTGTAATAACTAAAATATTTGTTGATGTCAGTTATCAAACAGGAGGTTATCTGAAAGTTTATGGGGGTGATTAGGGTCCTCTAACTCCTCCTGATGAATGGTTCTGTGACTTGTTCTTCTTCCCTGAATATGAAGGAACTCGTAAGAGGATAGAGTTAGGTTCTCCAATTTTTCCTTCGACGATTAAGTCAGTATTTGGGCTTGAGTGGAGAAGTGATATGGTTAGTACTTAGTTACGTAAAAAGGGCTAGAGAGCGTTATCCATGCAGTGTCGCTCCTTTTATAGTGGGTTTGAGGGCAAGCCGAGTCCAGCTAAACAGCTGAGCCGGCAGACATGTGCTATGTGTCGGTATCTGAATGAGGTGAGTCACGTAGTCATTTATTATGGGAATGACAGCAGGTGCTTGGTGATGACTGGGTCCGATGAGTCATAAAGACTATGGGGGCTAGGGTAATGATGATGTTGTCAAGGCAGATAATGCGAGGCTGGCGAGGGGTTCGATGTAACTGTCATCTTTCGACTCCTCAGATCTAAGGCTAAGAAGTACCGTCTTTTGACTCGGTTATGCGAGATGTCTACTAATCAGTGGGCCGAGTCGTATGCTGGTGGTCAATTGAGAATTTGGCCCCGCTTTTTGACTCGGTTACTCGAGATGTCGACCAATCAAGTCAGCCGTGCCGAGTTGGGTGTTATCGTGGTTGTGAATTAGTTTAGTTAGACAGAATGTAACACACGTGTTGACTTCTTTGTAGAGATTAATATTTAGTATTTTCAGGGGTTATAACAATATTAAATCATAAAACTTTTTGTTTTTAATCCTATATATATACTAGTTTTTATGCACGTACAATGCACGTGGTTAAATATCAAAATATTTTTTATTATATATTTATTTTATTACTTTAATAAGTCAGATTCATCTTGAGTTCAAATATGTTAAATTGAATTATTAGATTTATTAGTATTTTTATTTAAATATTATTAAAAATAAATGTAATGGATTTTTAAGCTAAATTGGGATGACTATACATAACTGAGATATTGTAATTGTCATTATGAACTATAGTTATAACAATAAAGAAAATATTAAAAATATTAAGTTTATTCAACTATTTGACTAAAAAAAACTAACATCACCGTTTGATTTACTGCAATCCCGTAAATTCTTTTTTTTCCAAAGAAGTTTTAATTTATCATCACCACCACCACCCAACAGGAACTTAATTAGAGTATGAAAGTAAATCTTGATCAAATTTGGTCCCTTATTCAACGTTGCAACAATCTCAACAAGTAACAATTAGTAAGCCAAGAAATGTTTTTGGAAACATAGAATATTGAAGTTTGTAACAACCCCAAGAAAAATCATCACAACAATAAACATTAAACATATTTTTACGGATACAATAGAAAACAAATATGACTCAATGGTAATTCTTTGCCAATTGGTTAAAGATGTCACCTTTATATCATAAATGTTAGATCACATGCTGCGCTAGTTATCAGGAAGAGTAATATACATCTACATATTTGTAGATTTATGAGGTAATATGTACTGCATAAAGTAAAAATCGAAATGTCTATTGTATTTTGTCATAAAACACGAGATATAAAATAATTAGAAAATATTATACTCGAAAATTCCTAATTGAACTAAGATCAATCTTTCTCCACCTTTATATTTTTCCTAGGTAATTCTAGAGTAGCATCTTCATCATCTATGTTGATTGTAATATCAGATTGGAGTTGGATTTCTTGTGCTATTATATTTCCTTCGGCCCGTTCATCTTTTGTCTTTTCATCTAACTTCACTAGGAATTTGAACGTTTTTCTAACGTTCGATACAAATTTCTGGAAATATGGACTTTGATTATTTTTTTGTTTTAATGAGAACAAATGTTAGTTTAATATAAATGATTTTTTTTTATTTTCTAAATTATTACTTGAATAGAGTTAAGAAGTACCACATGTTGGCCTTTTTTTGTTTTGATGATTTAACAAATAATTTATGACTAATATTGTTTTTCTAGTGTTTGTGTTTTCTTATTTATTCTAGACAAACAATGCGTCGGAGGTTGGATGGAATCGAGCATTCACGATCATATCCATTGGAGGATGAAAGGAATAGTGGAGTGAAGCAATATAATTCAAGTCAATTCAAGATCAAGCTTCATCCGCAAAGTTTACCAAGAATAGCTCATTGAAGATCAATCAAGCTTGGGTATATTGTTTATAGTGTTTGTAGTTTAGGTTTATACTTTGTGTGTTTAATACTATTAGCTAAATATCATATACACACACACATTTTATGAGTTTATCCGTTTTGGGTTTTATCTACAAACAAAGTTTTTACAAACAAATTAATTTATGTTTATATACATATATGTTTGTTTTCATATGGATAAGTTATTTTAGTTTAGTTATATAGATATACATTCATATACATGTTCATATGTTTCATATTCTATTGTATTCTGAAAATATTATGTTATTGGTTTATTGACTTAATAACGCTA